CTTAGAAGTTCGCTGGGAAAAACTATCAAGTGCCCCTAACACGTGATCTAACGACTCATTACCAGGTACAATGAGTCGTTGCGTCCTCCCGTTAAGTTCACTGGAGAAAAGCCATTGACTCCTGACGGGGAAACTGACGAGTCGTCGCCACTTATGACGACTCGTTGTGACCTCCCGTCGAGTACACTGTTAACTTCTCAAATTCTGAAACTCCGATTTGGCAATGGGCGACTTAATGATTCATGCAGCCTGATAACGACTCATGAGGTCGTCCGTTGGGAAACACTAACTCATCATCTTTGCATCCTTCTCACGGTTGACCCGACGATTCATTGGGTCCCTTAACGACTCGTTGGGTGGGTCGTTCTGCAACATTTCTGCAGTTTTTCATATTTTTTTAATTAAGTCCTGGATACTGATTTTGAGCTTTCGGGGAATTAAAACAAACCTCAACAATGAAACAAGATAAACAAAGCTCACCCAGCAAGATTCATATGAATTTAATGGTAGAAACTCCGAAAAAACAATTGAACGGCGTTAGCACACCAATAACCAACCTTATATAATAATGAAAACCAAAGGAAGAAGTCTTACCAACAGCTTCACCATGCAATAGCCACCAAAAGCCCTAAAAAGATACCAAAACACACACCACACACGACTCCTGACTTCCCGACATCAAGACAATGTTAAACCATGGCTTCCTACCTTAAGAACACTTAGAACACTTAAGGATGAGTTGAAGAGAGTTTTATCACAAAGAGACTTTCTAGAAATGGATTTGGATGAAGAACAACCGACCAAAGCGACTTAAATAGTCCTCCACCCCCATAGACCCTTGTGACGTGGCTGCTTGTGAAGTATCATGAAAATAGGAATATCTCTCTACTCCGAAGTCAGATTGTCGAATGGTTTTATGTGTTAGAAACTATACTCATAGATTCATATACCTTTAATTTGGTGGTTCATACACCCCCTAAAAACTTATAGATTTGGATAAAATCTTCAAGATATTTTACCTAAATTCTAGGGGATCTAAAGACGGAAAATTTTGCTATAAGTTTTGCTGAATTTTGTTCTACAACTTGATCAATGTCCAATATTAAGTAAGATCATAGAGTGACTCCAATAACTAATAACACTTCCTTCTTATCATATTAAGTACTCCTAAACCTACCTCAAAAGTATGAATTTATGGCTCAAATTATGGGGGGGTTTTATATCAAGTGTCTGAAAACCTGAAGTAGTGTTAATAAGGGCAAGCCTATTGCATTGTGTGTGCATTATTTTATTTTTTTTGTGAGAGTGAGTGTTTTGTTCTAGTCCCCAGGTAAATAACTTTGTGTGTGTGTAAGGACTTCTTTATGGTGAGGGCACTAAGAGAGCTCTATTAATTGCTGATTGTTAGCATTGTTGTTGTTGGTGTATGTAGAAGGCTATGGTGATATCATAATGTCTTCCTTAGATCCTCGTGAGTTAATGTGTTCAGTGATTGCCATATGTAAATGTTTTGTTTAATAAAAATGGAGTTGCACATGTGAAATGATCTATTTTAAGCCTAATAACTACTGTTGTTTATGTTAAGTTTCTTTTACTTTAATAAATGTTTTGTGTGTTGCAAGAGGACAAGAAAATGTTCTATGATGAAAATATTCATGTGCTAGCATTTGATGGGTCATTTGATGCTTTTAATTATAAATAAATGCACGTTCTTGAAAAACTATTATTTGATTTGATTGTTTTCATGTTGAATATATAGGAAAACAAACTGAGGCTAAAGATTGTATCAATGGTGCTTAAAAGATCAAAGTTACAGCCAACTTGATGGTCCTTCAACCTTCTGAAGTCTCATCATCTCCACCATCAAGATTAAGTAGTTCACCTTGACTTGCATCAAAAACTGATGACCGATCTATCGCCCTCAATGTTGTGATAAAATGTCAACTATGCCTTCAAGCATAAGTAGTAGCTGTACAAATTGACGATTAGAGTGATGGACCATCAACCACATGACAGACCATCAAGATTGGTGGCACTACAGAGAAGAATAATATATCCACTAGATAAGAACGATGCCCCAAGTGATTGACCATCACCTTGTAGATGGGCCGTCAACTTGCTCATCAAACGAAAAGTGGGCTTTCAATTTTGAAGTGTAATCTTAAATTGTATTAGGCTATAAATATTAGTTGCTAGGTCTAGTTCTAGTGATGAGACTTTGGGAGAGAAAAACACCATCTTTGTATGTTACGTTCAAATTCTTGAAGTGATTTTCATATTCATGGAATTACAATCAAGGTTTTATATTATTTTTGTATGTTGAATTTTCTCTTATGGAATATAACTTCTTCTGTGGTTCCAACAATCATGTGTGGATAAATTTCATCACTATGGTTTGTGTGATCTATGGTAGAATAACACGTATAGGGTGAGTAACGTTGTGGATTTATAGAGTGTAAACGTATGCATTGTTACATCTTTCGTATTGACTGAATTCTAGTGGTTGCAAATATTAGAATAAGCCACAGGTTTAACATTCTTGAGTAAGAAGTATAAAATCTGGAAAATGAAGTAATAATAAGAATTTGAGGTTTCTAACCCACATCTAATGATTAATACTATAATAAGATTAGTCAACATAGGGTAATTATCTTTGTACTCTTCGTTTCATAATGTAATGGTGATTTCTATCTAAATAGATTGAGAAAGATTTGGATGGATTAATTGAATTGATAGCTTGAATACATAGCATTAAAAGAATCCCCTATANCCTAATATTGTTAAGAAACCAGGGTGATCACAACCCTAGTTTTATATCTTCTTTGATACAATATTACTAAATTATAGTCGGTCTCGCTTGCTTTTGGATAATAGTGAAACACAAAAGATTTTCCCAAACCCCCCATTTTATGAAAACAACTAATTAAAAGTAAGATAATCACATTAGACTTACTTTTCACCTTATTTCCTGTGGGTTTCGACCCAAACATTGTTAGGTTCTATATTTGACAATGACCGTTAGAGGTGTAATTTGGGTGTATCAGATATATTATCGAAATGGTTAGCTCCATGTATAAATCTTTTGCATCAAAAGTTGAATAATTTGATCGAGTGGAATGAATGTTTAAAGAATGCAGTTGTTTCAGTCACTATTGCTTATTTTAAAATATTTATAGCATCCTTTTTATATAAACCCTTTTATTCTTATTTCAAAAATTTTGAGTCAATTTTTTTTTTCGTTAAAAGGGGTCCTAAGAGAATTCTGGGGGGGCTAAATTCTAAATGACATATATGATTTTTCATATAATCATTCTTACATAGATGCTTTTTATACAATATTTTTAGTTGGTAGGATAAGAGGATTAGCTGAATTTACTCATTTTTTGATCGATGAGTAATTTATGGGACGACTAATGGGGTTGGGGTTATTAGATTAATTATCGGAGAAGGTATTAAATATATNATATAGGGGTGAGTGCATCTCTTCTTATATTTTCTTGTGTTTAGCTTACTCTTCTTATATTATCTTATATTTAGTCTTTTTTTTAGTTTATTAATTATTCTTTTTGCCTTTTTTTTGAATTAAATGTTTATTTTCATTTTTTGTCAAGCAGTTGTAATTTTACATTTTGTATATTACCTGTGTTAATATTATTCAGATAAGAATCTTCATAATCATAAGACCATTACTAGTATTAATATTGTTATAGCCTATCTCTGTAAGGTGAGAGTTGACTTTGTCTTTTATTTTGTCTTTTCTATTCATTTAGATTTCTTTTCTTTCATTGAGTTTGTCTATATCCCACCTTTTTTCCAAAAAAGGGAAGTATATGGATAAGGATCTTCTTGAATGGATCCCTCTTGTTCCCGTTTTAGTCCCCTTCATTTCACTTCTTGTTTCCACATCTCTTTCTTCTACTTTTTAGGCTTCATTCAGTCTATTAGCGAGAATGAATCAGGGTATTCCATCTATATAATAGACACATATAATAAATAAGAGAATATTAAGGATTTGAGCCATAGCATTTCTCAATTCTAACATAAGGTACTTATTAGATCGAATGTACTTATTCGATCTAATAGAATGATTTTTTGATATCTGGACTAATACAAATCTAAGCCATTTAATGAATAAAATATGACCTATTAACCAACCAACAAAACCAATTGTTACAAATAAGATCCTGTTGTTGCATCTAAAGAGATAAATCTTGACTAATCTGGCGAACATTGAACTTGGTAAAATAAAATGGTTGACTAATTGAAAAATGATATTATTCAAGAATACACATGGAATGCTGAGATTACACATTGAATTTCTGGTAGTAGATCCATAATAAAGTAAGTGCTTGCGATTGTTCCAGAAGAAATGAAACAAAAGATATGGTAGCGGTAGGAAAGTTATTGTATAAGGTCTACCCAATGCTAGATGTATAGGTGCATAATAGATTTATATGAACGTAATAATATGTCCCATTATAGAATTAGTTATTGCAAATATCTTTTTCTAGATTCCTTCTTCCATAACTAGAACTCGGAGAAGGAAGAGATTTGAGGGTCCTATAGAGAATATGGCCAGAAATCCATAATAGAGTCCCACGACAATGAACAAATTGATTATCTTCATGCATAAGGATAAAATATTACCTATTAGAAAGGATTGAAAAATCACCACAAACCCCCCTTATTTCTTTTCTATTCCACTATCTAGATTACTATATGATGATCTTTTAACTTTTCATGCATTGCAACGAAATAGAAAGAGATAGACTAGGAACAACATTTGTTATGTCAATGACACCAAAGGGATATTACACTAATAGAATTGGGATATGGATGGAATATAATGAAATAAAGCAACTTTAAGATTCGTGCAGAAATAGAGCATGTAAAGGAGCCACTATGAAGACGTTCAAGGAGATAAAAAGGAAGCTTCTAGCTTATAATGGTCATGGGTTGGGAACTGAAATTGAACTCTAAAAGATCAAATCTCTTTTTATTCCTCAGTAGCTCAGTGATAGAGCGGTCGACTGCTAATTGACTAATTGTAGGTTTGTATCCTACTTGGGGAGATTTGATTGATTCTAAATTCTTTAATTCAGAATAAAGGGGCTCATTTTGCTCGTTAAAAGTAGGTAACTCATTCTCTATCTTTGTTTCTATTGCGTTTTATCTCATCGCATCACATTCTGGTCTATGAGATTACAAAATCACCATTAATACCTCGGTCAAGGTCCGACATAATCCTTTGTTACATAGCCTTAAGGCTAATTACAACTAGCCAATTAAGAAGTCTCTAATTTACTAGCACTGCATGTTTGATGTAGTCAATGATTCTCTCAAGAGGTCACAATTGTTGCAAGCAAAGATATTAATTATGAGCAAGGCCTTTTTGTTATGCTAGTAATACTTGCTCTGCTATTCTGCCCAAGCCTAGATGAGGAAAAGTTACGGAGCATAAAATAAAAAATACGTCAACCTTCCATACTATGATTAATGATTCCCCCATTAACAATAAATAATAAATAAAAATATAAAATAAAAGCCATTTCATTTCGAAGAAATACCCACACCCGAGTTCCTTAGCTTTTTGTTTGCTATTCCGAACATGTTTTTTCTACCCGTAGAGGGAATGGTACTTCCCTTTTGGGCGGATTATGGGCGAGGAGGGATTCAAACACCCGACACCATGGTTCATAGACATGAGTTGTAATCCTTTGATCTACATGTAAAGCCCTGGGCCTACACACTAGACGCAACGCGGTACTTGAAGCTACAAGTGACCCCAAGAAAACCCCTGGTCTATCATACATTAGCATTCTAAGTAAACATGCACAACGGAAATTTTAATGAACAACATTAAATAGTTTAATAAAACGTAAAAACTAAAAGTAATGAAGAAAGTGACATTTTCTGAAATACATCTTTGAAAATAAGTCCGGTCTGAAAGCCATCTACTGAGAAGTTGCTGGGAAAATCCCTCAGCTAACTCTAAGTCTATAGAAAATCATAACTCAACTAAAGAAAATAAACAAGGCCCTCGAATGATGAGGACTCACACTTTGGCTGCTGAGGTAGAGGCTCTGAAATTGCGGTGACTATCTGAGCTGGGTCTGAGAACCTGCAGCTATATCCTGAAACGATACATCATAAAAGTATGCGTCAGTGCTTTGAATGTACTGGGTAAGTGAGAGAAACATGAATAACATGATAGAACTGGTAACTGAATTGATACGACATGAAATAACCAACTGAAATGCTGAAAATTGATACAACAGATAATTAACTGATATGGTCAAAAGTGACCCTGGCTGATGGTCATAAACATGTCCTAAGTCTTAAATACTGAGTTTGTAATACTACACTGAACTAATCGGGACTGAAGAATCTAAGAGAAAATTGTACTAACTAGTGGGAGAGGCTATAACTGACATATAACCACGCGAGCTAGACGTGGAGTCCGATGTACACACCCACCGGTAGGACCCAATATACCTTGCCAGGGTATAAAGGCACGAACTGCGAGAATCACTGTCAAAGGGGCCATGAGGCCAAGTAAATATATATAACCTAGAGTGGAAACGTAGTTCTGGAACCTAGGGGCGCTGGAACCCTGGCCCTTTTGGTGCTAAGTCCTACTACAATTGGATGATCCTATTACTGCTACTACTGACAAGCGGATAGCTCGTTATTGGGGCCTAAGACTATATTGACAAAGGGATACTGTCAGAGAGTTCCCTGAGCGTCTTATAGGACCAGATTTGGAAACAGAGTTCTAAGACTTGTCAGAGCTCCTTATCTAGAAGCGTCGTAAGCGTCTTAAGAACTGGGGTCCGGGGTCTGGTTAGAGCTATAATTGGATTTCCATGACCGCCTAATGGATCAAATAATTGTAATCTGAGTCTGAGTCTGATAACTTAGAGGTACCACTAATACCTCGAGAAGAGACCATAGTAAAACTGATCAACTGACATTTCTGACTAACACAGAAATATTCTAATACTGTGATTGCAACGGAAATGTCAATTCCAAGAAAATACAAAGTATATAGACTTTCTGACTGAATCTTAATATCATACAAGTAACTGAGTAGTTAACACATATAAGCATTATAGAAACCCATAACTCTGAAAGATGCAACATATTCTCAAGAAGTCAAAGCCTAAGNGCACCACTCCGAAGTACTAATAACTAAGTTGAAAAGAGCCATAACTCTGAAAGATGCAACATATTCTCAAGAAGTCAAAGCCTAAGCAGGAGTCAAATTTCTGACATTTCAAAAGTTAGGGCTGAATTTCTAAAGTTGGTGGAACAAGCATCATTTTTATTAACACTTGGTGGAAAAGATAGCTACATTTAACATAAGACCAGATTCTACATGAATTAATCCAAGAACAACAACAATATCTTAAATTTCGTATGTTCAGGGCTAGGACTGAAATTTAATTGAGAGAGGGTTTCTAGGGGACGCAAGGGGAGAACAATCTCCTTGCTAAATTCCCACATACCTATAGAAGAGAATCTGATAAAAATCTTGAAGAAAGACTGAGAAGATGAACGTTTTCCCTAGCTTCTTCTCTAAATTCCTGACTATTTCTAAGCTCTGGTTTTTTTAGAGGATGAGTGAAGGAGGAAGGGGAATTGTCATTCTATCCCTTTTTACTCCCACCCAAGACCCCATAACAACAAGGTTTGGGAATCAAAAAGCTGGGAAAGTACTAAAATACCCCTGGCAGAAAGAACTGAAAACTGTCTGACACTAAACAACGGACCTCAGAACGGGTCATTGGTAGGAACGACGACCCATTAAATCTGGTTGTGTTTACTGGGTTCAGAAATGAGGTTTACTAGAGGTGTCCCATGTTTAGGTACAACGGTACATTGGAAGCAACAACGGGCCGTTTGAAGCAACGACAGACGTTGGAAGCAGCAACAACCTGTTGATACCCCGCGTAGGAACTGGTAAGAAAATTGGCACGGAGACAACGGGTGATAAGAATGACTCATTGGTAGGACCAATGGGCCATTGTATCCCCTCGTGGTTCATGCTACTGGGTTCTAGAATTGATCGATGGGTGGTAACAACGGCTCGTTGGTAATAACCACGGGCCGTTGTTCCCTCTCATTGCCTCTGGGAAAGGTCCGATAATCCTCTGAACTTGAGATTCAACGGATTACTAGAGGGCTCATTGTTAGGAACAACGAGTCATCCTATGTCTTGTTGTTTCCCCTCGAAGGAAGGCTGCTACTAACTATGAACACTTAAAACCGTCTGCTGGTTCCACCAACGTTCTGTTGTGGGCGTCGTCTCGGACAAAACTTTTCTGGTTTTCCTATGGTTTTTCATGCAACGTTTGAATTTGGTCTAGGAAAGTTTTGGGGTGTTACAATATCTCTCCGTTGGGATCATTCATCCTCGAAAGAAGGACAAAACTACGAAAAGAGCTTAGATATCTAAAATTGAGGCCATGACTAATTTTTGAAGGAGTAACTGACTCCGAATTGACTTAACTGTACTACCTGAGTTGATGCAACTAGAGTGCATACAGAAAATATAAAGAAGGTTGATGAGTACGAAACTGAGTAGAGTACTGAGAAGGAATTTAGTACCTGATTGTAGGTCTGAACTGGAAGGCAACAAGTCAGAGGGTATCTAGCCATCATGTCTGCTTCCGCTTCTCATGTGGCTCCCTTAACTTGCTGATTTATCCATAGCACCTTGACTGAAATCTCCTTATTCCTCAACTTACGGACCTGACAGTCAAGGATTTGGACTAGTACCTCCTCGTATGTGAGACTATCCTTTATCTCCACACTGTCCAATGGCACTACTGAAGTTGGACCACCGATGCACTTTTTCAGAAGTGACACATGGAAAACTGGGCGTACTACAGCTAGTTCTGAAAGTAACACTAGCTCATAGGCCACATTACCAATCCGTCTCAGTATCTTATAGGGTCCCACATATCGTGGACTGAGCTTTCCCTTTTTCCCAAATCTCATCCCCATTTCATGGGCGAGATTTTCAAGTATACCCAGTCACCAACTGCAAACTCCAATTCTCTTCTCCGCACATCGGCTTAGGATTTTTGACGGCTCTGAGCTATTTTCAGCCTTTCTCGGATGAGCTGAACTTTTTGCATTGCCTCATGCACTGAGTCTGGCCCTATCAAGGTAGCTTCACCAACTTCAAACCACCCTATAGGCGATCTACACCTCCTACAATACAATGCTTCGAATGGGGCCATTTAAATGCTTAAATGGTAGTTGTTGTTATACGCAAACTCGATAAGAGGAAAATGGCCATCCTAATTACCCTTAAAATCGATCGCGCACCCTCTTAGCATATCATCCAGGGTTTGTATGGTCCGCTCATATTGCCAATCGGTCTGCGAATGAAAAGCGGTACTGAGTTTAACCTGGGTGCCTAGTCCCTTCTGAAAGGACTTCCAGAAGTGTGAGGTGAATTTTGCTCCCCTGTCTGAAATGATGGACAAGGGTACCCCATGAAGTATGATTAACTCTCGGATATAAAGTTTGGCATAGTCCTCCACTGAGTCTGTAATTTTCACTAGGAGAAAATGAGCTGACTTGGTCAACCGATCTACTACTACCCAGATTGAGTCATGTTGCGATAAGTTCAAGGTAGACCTATAATAAAGTCCATATTTACCACTTCCCACTTCCACGTGGGTATACTGACATCTTGAGTCATGCCCCCTGGCTTTTGATGCTCCACTTTGACTTGCTGGCAGTTCGGGCACTTATCTACAAATTTGGCAATATCTCTTTTCATGTCGTTCCACTAGTAAATGTCCCTTAAATCGCGGTACATTTTGGTAGCACCAGGATGAATGGAGTACCTCGAGCTATGTGCTTCAACCAAAATCTACTGTCTCAATTCGCCAACATCTGTCACACAATCTTCCCTGGTAACAGAGCACTCCATCTCCCCATTAGGAGAAAGCCTCAACCTCCTTTCTAAGAAATTCTTCCTTGAGTTTAAGTAAAACTGGATCTTCATCTTGTTTTGACTTAACCTCAACTACCAAGGATGAATCTGACCTGCTTT